ACATGGCTTGTGAACTGGGGATTGCAAGGATGTTTGGAGATTGGCCATCATTTCTTCAGGCTAAGCTGAGTTCTTGGAACTGGCTGGGTTTGACTATTTTGCATTCCAAAGCTGTTGTATATGACTATTCCTTAACCTCGACTTCTTACTCTTCTTTCTCCCTTGCAACTTATTGGGGCACTTTCTTATTTATTAAGCCTCTTTTATCCTTTCACTTAACCTTGACTGCACATTGGAATCATCTGAGGAGCTTTAAAAAACACTGAGGTCGGGTCTCATGTTCCAGCGTCTCTTGTTCAATTGTTCCGAAGTGTAGCCTTGCAGTGCTGATTTCTCGTTCTCTTTGATTTCCATTTTTAAGCTCCCTAAAAGCTTCTAGTGTGCAGCCAAGATTGAGAACCACAGCCTTAATGCATTGTCACCTACATCGACAGAGCCCTTATCTCCCAGGTTTTGCATATTTCTAATTACTTTGGGGAGACTTCTGACCATAGCCTCAGACCTCACTAACGCGCCCATGCAGGGGGAACGTTCCTGAAGTGGTTCACTTAGAACTTGCTCGCTCTTCACAAGGAGTGACTTATTTGGAAGTCTTTCTCTAACAACAAATTAAGGAAAGATGAGACATGTGAAAACCTGCTCTGGTCAATAACAATCAAAGGTCATCACCATCGTTTCCTGTAAATAAACTCACCCAGCCTATACTCGGGGCGAAGCACCCGTCAGCTCCACAGTAACCCATCCCCTTGCGACCGCACAAGTCGTCGCGGAGCAGAAAACCACAAATCGTCCATCCAGATGTAGTTACAAGATACTGAAAATACGTGGGGCAAAGAGATGATGAAACTACCCCAGATTTACAGCAACAGGTGGTGGCCTCTCCTAGCACGCATGTACATGGTCATCCGACCTCTCAGTCACACGGAAGAGAGAACAAGGAGACCCAGCACCGAGAAGTCTGTTGAAAGATTTGCAGCTTGAGCTCAAAACGGGGGAGGAGGGACAGGGGAGGAGGGACTGGAAAAGCGTGCATTTGTCCAATTCTCCGTCCAGGTCATCATTAGAATCACAAAGGGGCCGTCTGAAAAGATACTGGTCTATCACCTCTCCACAGCTTGGCCCAAGTCAATGAGACTCTTTAGGCAGGGCTCAAGCATTAGTATCTTTTAAATCTCCCCCAGACTGGCCAATGTGCTGCCTGCCTGACTCTGAATATCGCATCCACACAGAATTCTCTTGTCTCACCACCAGGCAGGACCCTGAGTGTCCCATGGCCCCTGAACCAGGTTCTGAAGCCACATCGCTCCCCTCCCCCACCCCCGTACTGCTTCCTCTTCTCTTCCCGATTCACTTCCCCCATCACACCCACGTATACACACACACTCATATACGCTCATACTCACACATACTCTAACACACACAGAGCACATTCCCAGCAAGCCCGTTTGAGCTATTACAGTCTCTTGCATATGAGCTGTTTTCTTCATTGCACTGTGAATTTCTGGGAGCAAGTATCTCTTCTGACCCAGTGAGGGCCCCACAGCACCTTGCAGAGCCTCGGACTCAGTGAAATATAAGGGCCAAATGGCTGAAGGGCTGGTGGATCCGTTCCGCCAGAACAATCAGCTAACCTCACTGAGCCCAAGCAAGCCTTGGTATCTGAAGTAGTCAGACAGCCACAGAATGTCATGCACCGTGCGTGGGCCGGGGATTTGGGGATTATAGGTGGGGATTTTCAGGCGGGCAATTAGAGAGCAAAGAAGAGAAGCAGGGCCCCTGGGGAGGCCTTCCGAATGTAAGGAGACGGTAACACGAGCAGAGATGACAGGGTAGCGACATCAGTGACAGAGAAATTATTAGGCACGTTTCGAAAATGTGGAAAACACCTGGGACCCATCTATTCTTTTTTTTTTTTTAGTTTAAAAAAGAAAACTTTCTCTTTCTTGTAAAATAGGCTTGACGAATGGGTCTCCCAAAATAATTGCCCTTAGCTCTTCATTTCCCTTTGTGAGTTTGGAAAGGAACAGGCAGATCTCACTTGGCTGGATTTGACCTTCTCTGCGGTAGACATGCCCGCCCCCACCCAGACCAGGGGTGAGTAACTAGGAAGAACGTGTTCATTGGACCACCACAGTTCACGGACACATTCAAGGAAATAAAACACATGTGAATGTGGGTATGTGAAGCCAGCCCCAGCAGGGAGACACCCCAAAGGACTGCACCTCCGCCCGCACCCCCACACACCGAACTGCTGCACCACTGAGCCCCCCTGGACTCCCATTTCCCTATCTGTCGAGTGAGTGGGTTGGATTCGATGATTCCCATGACAGCGAATTTTATGTGTCAGCCTGGCTGCACCACAGCGCCTGGGTATGTGGTCAAACACGACTCTGAATGTTTCCGTGAGGGTGTTTCTGGATGAGATTAACACTGATTCTGGGGACTCTGAGTAAAGCAGATTGCCCTTCTTCATGTGGGTGGGCCTCGCTGAATCAGTTAAAGGCTTGAATAGAACAAAAACCGACCTCCCCTGAGCCAGAGGAAATTCCCATCAAAACTGCTTTTGGACTGGAACTGCACGTCTCCCCTGGGTGTCCAGCCTGCTGGCCCACCCTGCAGGTTTTTGACTCACCAAGTTTTCATAATCGCAAGAGCCAATTCCTTAAAAAAAATGTATATGAAGTATGTGTGTGCCTACCAGTGTGTGAAGTACCTGTGTGTGTACATCCTGTTGGTTCTGTTTCTCTGGAGAACCCTGAGTAACACAGCCCCCAAACTCCTTTCCAGTTTTAAGATGCCGGGAGTCTGAGTGGTAGCAGAGAGGAAGGGGAAGCTGGGCCTACTCCTCTGCCTGCAGCTCCCCAGGGCAGAGATGCCAGAGGGATCGGGACAATGTCCTCTTTCAGGAGGACTTGTGCAATGGGCCTCCTCGGCACAGCAATAAATACCAGTAGTTCCAGAACTGGTACGCCAAGTACTGTGGGGGTATGGAGAGAGATAAAATGATATGAATGCAGCCAGGAGGGAATCCAAAATGGGATGTTATGAAGACAGTTTTTACATTCCACCAGTTTTGCCATCTTCCGTCTGGACCTCCCCAGCTACTTGCCATGTTGTGATGCTGGTGTCCCAGAGGCAGGAAGCAGGGCATTTTTTACTGGTGATAGATGACGTGCTGCTACAGAGCAGAGCATCTGCTGCAGGAGACACAGGAGACCATTTCTGCGAGGTACAATGTGGGGGAAAGAAGGAAGGAGGGAGGAGGGAGAGTAGGAGCAGGATGATGCTGAAATCCATCAGAGAGGACCACAGCGACTTGGAAGAGCTCGTCCCACACCAGCTATTGTCTAGAAACCCAGGGGCCCTTGCATGCCTCTCCTTTAACACACTCCAAGCGGGTCTCAGCCACAGCTTTCTGGACTAAAGAGGCCACAGAGGGGAGAGGGTGGCTCATTCTCACATTCCTTTGCTGTCTCTTCCCCCTCTCTCCTTGTGTGTCCCATGTTCTGCCCAATGCCCTCTTCTCTTCCAGTCTACACCCTTCCAGGTTGTCCAATCTGTGCCCAAGCCTCCAATTATCACCCTCATATGGATGAACCGCAAAACCCGACACCAGCCCTTCCGCTCACCTGTGGTCCTGACCTGAGCTCCCCTGGAATGTAAGCTCCACGGAACGTAACTGGTGAAAAATAAATATCTGTTGAATCAATGAATGAACCTGCATCTACCAGCCTTTAGACAGCTTCACTTGGGCCATCCTGAGCTCGTCATGTATAAAACCAAACATGGAAGTTGTCTTCTCCTCAAAATCCATGTTCTCCATTTTGTTTATTCACCCCATCATCCATTTCTTCATTTAGTCCCCACAGGATAAATCAAAATAATTCATATTCAGTGAATAGGATGTGTGAGATATGTTGAGATCATCCACCACTTGAGAAGTTTGAAATGATCACCCAGGACTCACCAAGACTCATTCATGCCATCTAGACTCTCTGTCTGAACTCAGAAGTGCTACAGGTGTATCTGTGAACAGCTCCAGCCCCTTACACATCTAACACAGGGAAACAGGTAACTGCATCCTGTCACTGAGTTAATACATTTTCTAACTGAACACAGAGTTGCTCATTACTCAATAAATAGTGCAGCCTTTTTATGAATCTCAGTTTCTTCCTGCCAGAACACAATAGATGGTAGAACAAAGCCCACATAAGTAATTTAAATACCCTTGTCACTAAACTATTTTATAGCCAAGTTCAGCTGAACCTCGGGTCTGCTTCAGCTTGCTCTGGATTGTACAGGAAATAGACTATTGGTGTTAGTTGCCTCAAGAGTATTGAGAACAATAACGACATGCATAAAAACAATAACACATTATGTTGTTAGTGCTGTGATAAACTCATTATTTCTTTTAAATATGCACAAGAACCCACTAAGAAACTGAGGTACAAAGAGGCTGAGTAACCTGCCCCAAATCACACAGCTAATCATGGAAGAGCTGGGCTCGAACCCAGGTCATCTCTGTCAGAGTCCCCTGTGCACTCCCTTGCTACATGTATGATTCTAGCCCACAGCCCAGCTGCGTCTCCAAAGGAGAGGTGGTTCTTACCATCCCCCAACAAATGCCACCTTGTTCTCAGCACTTTGAGATTCTGTTTCATGACTCAGAAATAATTGCTCTAAAACCTTATACCTTCATGTATCTAACCATTTCGTTTTTATTTTTTCCAACTTGAGTATCTGTCTCATTTTACAATGCGATCCTTGATTATTGTGTTGAGTTTTTAAAGAAATCTTTTCAAGTTCTAAATTCCCCTCCCTTACAATGCATTTAAACCTTAAAAAGCCCACCTACAGGAAGCAACATGGCATCATCACTGGGAGCTGGGCAGATGGACAAGTAAAGGATACTATTTTAATAAAGGGAAATTATTTTAATGAAGCTTGCTTCATTTGCTTCAGTTTCTTAGCATGCATATCTAAATGCTGGAACTTGGTTTGTTGGCAATAGTCTGATGAAGCAGATATTTTGGATGAGATGATTTTCCAGAGAAAAGAAAAGCAAATCAAACAGAAACCAGTCAGTCCTCTTGCGCTTCCCATGGTTGGGGAATGGGACTCCACTGACATTTTCATCTATTGAGCTGGCCTACCAGGAATTCGCCTGGTCTGCTTCTGAAGTCTGTCATCCTGCTTCTGGCTGTGGTGAAGGTAGCGATCATCAGGAAATGACTGAACAAACAAGAATGAGGAAGGAAAGAAAAGAGAATAGGACAGAGACGGTGAGTCCTCATGGAAGGCTGTTGAGAGGCTTTGAGACTTAAAGCAAAATGCCATACAACAAAACCAACTTTACCACAGGCTAAGTGATGTGAACATGAGTCAAGTTACTAAGGCATCTCATCGATGTTATAATGAAATAGTATTGAACAAAATGTTGTTTGAGGACCTATTGTAGTAGGTTATGTAACTGCGCGAAATCTCAGCTATCATGGTGAGATGCCAAAAGATACTGTCCAATTGACAAATCAAAAAAATGAAAGTGCAATGACATTTAGATTCATGGTTGTAAGCATAACATTGATCTATTCAAACTAATATCAGAAGGGAGGACAGGGGGCCCCTCTGGAAACGGGGTGGTGGGGTCAGGGGAGAGCAGAAAGCTATTTGATTTTATATACACCTACTCTAATATCTGAAACCTTAAGTCAGGAATACGTAGTATTCGGTAGAAAAATAAAAGAACAAATTGTAAAAATGTGTGTACCAAAAATATGTCTGTCTATCTATGTGCATACAGGTGTGTGTGTATATACATGTCTACATGGAAACATGCATAGACATGAATATATGCATATATGCACATATACATCCATTCTTTGAGCTATTTTCTCTTTAAGGGTATTTGTAAAACTCATTTAGGTATGTATTTTCATACAGCTAATGCTGTCTGTCCCTTAAGATCTGTATGATTTTTTAAAGATTTTATTTATTTATTTTTAGAGAGGGAAGGGAGGGAGATAGAGATAGAGAGAGAGACATCAATGTGTGGTTGCTGGGGGTTATGGCTTGCAACCCAGGCATGTACCCTGGCTGGGAATCGAACCTGAAGATCTGTATGATTTTTTAAAAAGTGACTCAGAGAACTTCTAGTCGAAGATCCTTCTGTTACAGGTGGAGAGAGAAACCCTGTCTACTGACATTTATGGGGTAACTGCAAGTACCGGAAGACATGGCACTTGACTTTGAGATGCAGGGATGAATAAATCCATGGGACTCTAATTAAGATGAAGGAGACAAATATAAACGCCTTAACTATAATCACAACATAAATACAATAAGAGGCAAAACTAAAGGGCACTTATTCAAGACAATGCGGAAAAAAGAACCAAATCCCAGGTGTGAGCTCTTCCTTGGGCGGGGAACTGGTGTTCTGGAGGGCAGAGAACTGGAGGTCACTTCACTTGTCCAGAGTTTGGGACCCAAAAGATGCCCCACTCAATTGTCACTATTCATCATCCTGCTCCAGCCAGATCAAAGCCAAAGCAGAGCCCAGGGGTCCAGATACGAAGAGAAATCCTTCCCAGCCTCTGCTGCGCTGGAGCCGGGTTATCTCAGGAGCCAGGGAACTAGAGGGTGTGTTTCATCTTCCTAGAGCACAGATCCCTGGAAGTCCGGGCTAACAAGCGAGTCCTATTCCTTCTCATGAAGATGCTTCTGAAACAGGAAGCACATGAAAACACCTCCCTACTAGCCGCCGAAACAGCAATCTGGTGCTTCCATTTCTTCCTCATCAGATTGGCAAAGTTTCTAAAGACTGAGAAAACCCTGTGTTGTTGAGGATATAAGGAAAATGGCACCTCAGTCACTGCAGGCTGGAGTACAGACTGGCTGAACTTCTGGGTAGGGCAACTTGAAGCATTTATAAGAAGTTCAAAGGCAAACCTTCAACCCACAACTCCACAAGGATATATGGACAAGCATATCCTTGCACAAGGGTATGTAGACAAAATGCTCACAGAGATATTTATAGCAGAAACTTGTCAACAACCCAAATACCCATCAATAAAGAAGTGGTTAAATCAACTCCAATGTGTCTGTACTAGGGCATATCAAGTACAACAATTTTAAAAAATGAGAAAGATCTCTTTGTCATGGATATAATGGTATGTGAAGAATGCAAGTATCACAATAGCACAGAATGTAATCTTATTTGTGTCTTTAAAAATCCGTGTATGAATGCCGATGTACGATAGGGTGGTTAACTATTTTTTTGTTACCTAAAATTGTACAACATGTATTCATATTCAACTTATTACATTTCTAAGTGAAAGAAAAATATTGTCATGAGAATAGAAAGTCAAAGGAATTTTATTTAATTTTTTCTTTATTTATTTTTAGAGAGAAGGGAAGGGAGGCAGAAAGAAAAACATCGATCGATTGCCTCTTGTATGCACTCTGAGCAGACACCAAACCTGCGACCCAGGTGTGTGCCTGACCAGGAATCGAACTGGTGACCTTTTGCTTTGAGCGATGATGCCCAACCAACTGACCCACACTAGTCAGAGTGAAAGAATTTTTAAGTGAAGAAAGAGCACTAATTAATGAGTTTGTCCAAGTCCAGGTGTTGGTCTTCAGCCTGACAGGCTAAGAAGACACTTGATTACTGTATTTTTTGGACTATAAGATGCACTTTCCCCCCTAAATTGGGGAGAAAAAGGGGGGTACGTCTTATAGTCTGAATGTAGCTTACCTGGCTCACTGTGGGGGCAGGGGGCGGTGGTCTATGTTATTTGTGTTATCAAATATTTTACCACATTTTTTGCTTCAAAAATTTTTTCCTATTTCCCTCCTCTAAAACCTAGGTGCGTCTTATGGTCCAGTGCATCTTACCACCTGAAAAATTCGGTATATCATAACTCAGAGTGGCTTAGTCTCTCTGCAGCAAATTCAAACCACCTAAACTTGCAAGAGAACAATGGAGAAATATCAATTTGTCATTTATGCCTTAGTACCACGGACATTTTGGGATAGACAATTCTTTGCTGTGTATGGTGGGACAATATGAGATGCTTCAGCAGCACCTGGCCTCTGCTCACCAGATGCCACCACCAGCTGTGACAACCAAAAATGTCTCCACGTCTTGCCACATGTCTCCAGGAGGGAAGTTGCCAGAACTGGCCCAAGCTGAGAATCACTGATTGACTACAGCGATAAACGTAACTGCCAAGAAAGCCAGATGCTCTCACGGCAGGAAGCAGCATGGAGAACCAGATTATAATGAAAGGTTGTGGCAGAGCAGGAAGTCAGAGCAAAGGCAGTTTGTTTTGAAAAAAAGAAAAAGATTTAAGTATCCGCTGGCTTTGCCCTGGGATAGCCTGAGTCTCCCCCCTCACTCTAGGAAATGCTGGCCCTGGACAGGACCTTGGCTGGGCACTGTCGCCTCTCTCCCCTCGGGCCCACACTGATGAATGGCTCCCCTTCTGATCGACACTTCTTCCCGGAGACACCAACGTTGTCGATTGTCTTAATGCTTCTGAAACGTGCCAATGACCTCGAACAGCCGAGGGGGACAAACCTATGGAAGCAAGCGCCCTCTGAGGGAGGCAAAGCCCCGAACACCCCCCCCCACAAGTACATTATTTCTGTGAAGTTGTGTTTCGCCTTAAAGATTCATGTGATTTTGCCTTCTGTTCTATGTTTTGTTTATTCATATATAGATATATGAATAAATATATTATATATGTTTATATATATACACATACACACACAGCACAAGAAGCAGATAACTTTCTCCAATAAACCTTGGGAAGGCACACAAGTTGATCCTGTGGCTGCATGCTCTCCCAGGCACATGCCAAGATAAAAAGAACAGACAACTTCCTGTTCTTCCTGCACCTCATTCAAAGAGAGTATGTCCATGAGCATGCAAAAGGCTCAGAGAAGTTCCCTGGGAAATCACGTCGCCTTAGGGTGCCTCCCGCATCTATCTGATCTCCTGGCATGTACTCTGTTCCCTTCCGTGGCTCTGAAGAACCCTTTCATGGCTGCCTGCAGCTCACAGCTTCTGCCCCAGCCAAGCAGCCACAGCCTCGACTGGCGAGTGACGCCGTCTAGGGCAGGATTCCGGTTAAGATAACCGAGTGGCTCATTTTGGTTTCAAGCAATATAGCCTCCTGAGATTTTTGTTTTTTAGAGAAATTTCTCTGAGCCAGAAAATCAGGGGGAGGGGGAGTAGCGTGGGAGGCTCTATTTCTGAATCCTTGGCATTTTATCGTCTCTTATTTAAGGGATTTCATGTTTCGGAGGGGCGGAGGTGGAGGTGGATCTTAAACATAGAAGTATATTTCAAGAATGGCTCCTTTTAAAGCATGTATTGAGACTGGCTTTTTGCAGAGGACAGTGACTTATGGGTTATAAGATAAAGAAGAAAACACGTCAGGGGAGGCGCTCAAAAAATGTTGAGCTTTGCTTGTCAGTCCTCTGAAGTTGGAGCGCTGGACCCAGTGGGGCTGGGGTGGCTGCAGTCATGAATCCATAAATCTCATTTCGGTATCTCTTGGAAGCCTAAACTCTTTCCTCGTTCCCATCTCTCATCTCCCAATCCCTTCTTTATTTATATGCCACAAATACAGGCTCTGAGAAACGACAGAACCAGACACATCCCTTCTCCTCTGTTTCTTCCCAGCACCGGGATGGAAATCCATGTTTTGCTGTTGCCTTTCTTACCCAGTTCTATATGTGATTCTGATGTACTTGCGTCCTTAGATGGTTTCTTAGTAACATAAGATGTTTTTATTTTTACATTTTCTTTTGAAAATGACCCAGAGAAATGAGCTCCGGATTCTCTTACCTTTTCTTCCCTGCAGAATGTGTTTCAAGGACTCAAATCTCAGTCCTCTTGTTTGTCCTCAGCACCACGATATCTAGGGAGGGGGCGCCCAAAGTGATGGCAAATGTGAAGCCCTCTGCAGAGTTAGTTTGTGGAGACATAGCTGTGTGTTGGCCCCCGCATAGTTTCCAGGCCCCTGGAAAAAACGCTCAGTCGTGCCAGGGAATATTTCCACGGAGGGGAGGCGGGCAGAGCTGAGAGGTACAGTTCTGGGAGATCGTGTTCCGTGTTAAGAAACACAGGCTCAGCACCAACTCGGTGACGTGCTAGAGCAGAAAAGTAACCAAGCCCACGGGCACCCAGTAAGAGAAATCGGGCAGGACAAGGTCACACCACCATG